TTTATAAAAATCTTTCTTTCTTGATAGGTTTGATAAGGTTCTCAGCTTTCATTGAAAGATTTATAAACTTTGTTAACATAAGTTAGTTTTCGTACATACGTAAGTATTAAACACTTAATTTACGTAAATAAATAACTTTGTAAAATTTCATCGAAAATAGTGTTAATTTAACAAAACTGTGCAACGCCTTGAAACCATATATAAATGTTTATTTAATTCTCTTAAAAAATGCCCGGGAACCGAGAAAGAACAGACAGAAAAAAAAACAACCCGTCCATTAAGTGTTAAAATTCTATTGTTATGCTAAAGTTTCCAGTGGATTTCTTCCATGTGGCTATACACAAATCTCTGAAATTAGAAGCGAAACGGTGGGACGTCGATTCAGTTGTGCGCACGTGTCTGCAAACAGGTGGTGCTTACGCTTCTACGTACGAGTGCATTTTGATACTTATGATTATTCAACAAGTAAAATTTCTCTCTTTTTTTTTCATAAATTACAGGTCACTTTTTCCCTTGATAATAATCAAAGTTATCAATTCATCAACGTTCAACGTCTATTCTATAAATTCCAGTGACATTTCACAACGTCAAAAGCTAGCGTATTTGTCACGTATCAATCGCAAACGTATCAGCATCCACGAAGTTATCTAAAAACATGTTTGCATGGAGCGTCACGTTCGGGAAAAACCTCTCTCGACGACAGATAAGACCTGTGCGATGCTTCTAGTCTTATTGTCGAAGTTCGAAATTGGCGAGAAAGACGGCACTAACGTTAGAAAAACGTTGGAATGAAATATCAGTTAGTGAGGAATTCGTTGATAGTCTGACGATGCATCCGCTCACGTCTCAGAAAAATTTGTTCGAGAGATTGCGGAAAAATTAGGTAAAAATCATCGGTCACACTTCTCGGTAAAAGAATGAAGGCGAACGATGACTGAGCACTTATGGAGTATTAACGCGTTATCTCGACTGTTTTATAACACCTACGGTGTTTCGCGTTATGATATTTGCAGCGACGTGTAAGATACATTTGCTCCTTATCGTCGTCAAACATTTGTCGCACAGGAATAATACAGTTTTCCGCCCCACCCCCCTCCTCCTATTTGTTTGAACAATCTCGACAAACACCGACCGTGCGTTTTATTCGTCTACGATGGCAAGAAATTCGAAAGGGACGTTCTCGTTTCTGTGTTTCCGTTTTTATGGTCGAAAACGAACGTTCTATGCGGCCGTAGGATTGATAATACGCACGAGAGATGATGGATCACGTGTACGTATGTGCATAGTACGACAGAAATTAATTCTAGAGACTGGTGGAACTTTTTGTAGTGAAAATTGTCAGAATGGGTTATTCTGTTTCTCGAACTTCTCCAGGCGTGAACCTCAAAGATCTATAGAGGAATCGTTACGATAAGACAAACTGTCGTATGACACGTGTGTCTTACCTTGCTAATTATATTGCACTACATGAGTACCCGTGTACTAAAAATTACAGCGTTTAAATGGACGTGAAACAAAGATACCTTCATTTTCTTTCGTCAATATTGTTATTGTCGTAATTTCGTTAATAAAATCTTTCTAATAGAATCTGTACAGTCTGCTATACGCATAAAATTGATATCAAATAATTCTTTTTTTTTTTTTTTGGAAATTACGATGACTGGAACAAAGATACTATATATTGATTTGAAACTACAGAGATATCACTGAAATTTTTGATTCAGAATCAATTGATTTCATTGAGCATCGACTGAAAGAATGTAATGTGTATGCAACTGTTTGTATATCTAAATTAATCCCATGGCGACGATATATCATCGATGTATCTGATATGAAACTCTTTGTTTATATCATACCGTCGGTGCAGTTTATCGTACGAATTAGTTTGTCATACAATTCCTGATTGCGCATCGTTATGGATAACATTACTCGATCACTACTTAATGTAATGTAATCAATTCCTTTGATTGCTATTGTTGTAAGTTTATACAAGTCATTTGATAGAGTATTCAAGTGGCTATTTAAACTTTTATCAAAGCATTTACATCTTGTCATAGCTACTTTACTAACGTTGTAGGTGATTTCTCATTCCAGGAGAATTTTAAATCTAAGGTATTGAAACAATCGATCCATCGATTCTTCAAGTCACTCGATCAATTACGAACGTTATGAAAAATTGACTGGAGATGAATCGTATCAAAACGATAAATTTTGTGTGTTGATTGATCAGTAAAAATAGCTCCAAAATTATATTATTAAAAAATTATAAAATTACAATTAATTAATTAAGCTCTAATTAATAAAATTATTTATTCTCCTCTATCGTTCGAGCCACCCTTCCTCTTTCGATTGCTCACACACGTGTATCGTTAACCTCATTATCGTGTCGATTTCATCGCGCCTTCTCTGCCATAAATTAGTGCGCCGGCGATTCGTGGTGATCGTCGATTCGTCTGATTAATAAATCGACATATTCGTTGATTACACTTTCACCACAGTCCCTGTTACAATTCCCATCGACTTCTCGATTTATTCCCGTAAAAGTAGCACCAGATCGATTCGTATATGTGACTTCAAATATTTGACCACCGGTGGAAAGAGCTTCGGTATTGATCCAACTCTATAATTTCTTACGACCGCTACTAATAATACGTGGTCACCTACAGCCCTGCGGTTATTTGTTTTAATACGAGCAAGGATTTAAAGGCAGAGAGTTAAAGGAATAATTTCCTATCCAACTTCGAGGGTATACATACTCGTTTTAAAGTTTAATCGCAACTGATCGAAGGCGGTGTCGTCTTCGTTTCTCTTTTTCCTTTTTTTTTTTTCCTTTTGTTTTAACTACCAATCTTCTCTGTTAATTCGTATGTGGGAAAAATATTTTATACATCGATTAATATTCGCACGTAGTTAGAAAAAACAAATTCCTCTTGTGCTCTTGAGCATGCTGAAATCTGTTGCAACGCTCGCAAAGCCTCAAGTTGCAGATTACATTCCGCACACAGCGTATACCGGCGTTAACTCAATTAACATCTCGGGGAGGATAAAGCATACGTTAAACTCTCATTCATGCCG